AGAATGCTTATGTCCAATCGATCGTTGTTGACGAATCTGTAAGCATCGTACATAAGCTGAGCGCGATTACGGTGATGTACTTTATGGGGTTGCTCTACCAAGCCATCAGCAATTAAATGCCAGTTTTGTTCATCGTAGTTAATGCGATAGTAACCCGTGGATTGTTTATTCAAAATCAACCAATCATCAGCGGCAACTTCTTGGTCGGTGATAGTGATTTGTCTGGTATTGAGAAGGTAATGCGAAGCCGTTGTATTACGGAAGTCTGACTTGGAACGGGCAACATAGTTGAATGGCACGTAGTATGTTTTGTCCGAAGTAATGTTTACGTTATCATTGTAAGCAGTTTGGGTGATCGTGAACGTGTTGGAGCTGTAATTTCGTGTAACTGTTAGTAGTGGATAGCCAGATTGCTGTGACCATGTGGGGAACATAACGTCTATGCGCGCGGGAATGCTGAGTTGGTGTTCATCAACAGCACTCTGCAGTGCTGAAAAAAGCTCCCATTCCTCGGCAGAGTCGAATGCGCTGCATGGAGAATGCATTAGTGGTTTGAGTAAGATTTAAGCGAAATTTATAAACAAGTAAAGCACTACTATATATGAAAACTTACTTCTGAGTTAGATATTTGTTCAAACCGGAACGAAATACTGAATCGCCGAGAGCATGCTGCCACATGAAAAGTACCGAGCAAGGTTTGGCATAAGAAGAGGTACCGTACCGAGCTGAAATCTCGGTGGGTGTTTGCGCATAATGGGTCATGGGCACCACGCTACCACTACCATCATAAATAAGCGCCGATTGGTAGTTGTTAGTATGCATTATTTGATAGACGTCCCACTCGGGATTAACCTAAATATGTTGGAGTATTAGAGAGGTGATAAGAAGTGGCATAGCATTCGTTATCCGCTTTGATTACCAATAAAAAAAAACTCACCTCATTTACGCCATGGTATGAGAAGAGTGTCGCGAAACCCTCTTTGAGCCACAGATATGTCCACCACCTAACTGCTACATGATTGCCAAACCATTGGTGTGTGAATTCATGTGCGATGATATTGGCGATGGAATTCTGTGTGCTTGACGTCGATGAACTTTTGTTGTAAAGCAAGTACGCTTCACCATAAGTGACCAATCCCCAATTTTCCATAGCGCCACCCTTTCCAGGTATTGCCACTTGCACCATTCGCGGCAGCGCAAAAGGCACATCGTAGTACTCGGCCAAGCGCTGTAAGATCAATATACCCGAGAGTAGACCGAATTCATGATTGTCAACAGTTCCCGGTTTCGAATAGAGCCGGTGTGGCAGTGAATGCAACACACCTTCAGACCATTCATAGTCGGACACATGGAAAGCAATCAAATATGTGGAGACAGTCACATTTGTCTTATCGAAGACCGTTACACCAGTTCTGCAAAGAGAGACCATTTTTAAGGTAACACATTTTTATATAACACTAAATTTAAAGTTGTATGCTTACGAGCTGGCGGTTTCGTTTATCGGCATATTGGATATTGCACTATACGAAGGATCGTGTTTGATGGTTATTGTGAAGGTGGCGCGTTTGGCTGGTTCATCGTAACAGGGAAATGCGTGGCGGGCATTTGTGGATTCGAATTGTGTTGTTGCCATATAACTGTAAGTAACAAATTATTTTTAGCAATTAGACCAATATATGTATGTGATTTCATTATGCATTTCTTATTGTCTTACTGCACTTGATTGAGTTCGTCAGTGTAGGAAAGTCGATGAAATCCTCCAGCGTCGGTTCGCAATTGGCCATTATACGCAATAGTCAAAGTCCAGTTGGTATCTTTGTTAAGGCTAAGACTTGCGTTTACTGGTGTTAGACTAAGGAATTCCCTTTCGGATTCGTATGACCAACTCAATTCATACTCAATTGCATTTGCTTGGCTTGCATTTTTTAATGGTGGCCTGGAAGCCTTCAAGTTGACGCGCATGTACTACAATGGTTCTTGTGTCCTCGGTAGCCGTTATCAGAATTTGAACTTTGCCGGTAAAATTTCTTGTACCGTTATGCACATTCGTTGTCAATTCGATGTCGTAATGTATGGGCTCGGTGTTGTTTGGCAAGCGGTAATTGCCATCAGCACGCACGCTATAATCAATTCCTGATTCTTTTTCAACGATATGATCGCTTGGACTTTCAATGTCCTGCGGCGGCAGATGAGCTACTGATGCCTCTGAGGTCTCTAATACAGATGAGGCAATTAGGGCCAATGTGGCCAAAAGGACAACGTTCAGTTTAACTTTAGTGTGGATCATTTCGTGAACTAAACGGCCGCAGCTCAAGAAACGAAATACTCAAAAGAAATTTATTGTGGGTCATTTTTAAGGTCTTCAAACTGACTTGGGTTTGGCTATCAGTAATATCGATTTGCAATTTACGTGATAGGCAAGTGATTGATTGTAGTGCTTTTCAGATTGGATTGTGGATCTAAGCGGTGTCTGCGGGCGTCGAGAAATTTGTTTCGTTTAATTCGCCTTTGCTATCTTTATGAAGCAATATTGGACATTCCGATTAGTCTAATGGATTTTAGCGGTGTTATGAAACATTTATGACACACGCATATCGGGTCATAAAGGTTTGATAAGAGGTACATTTTTTTAAATAAGGAAGTTAAGTGCATACTTACTAGGCGTTTTTCTGTTTTATTTACATTTATGTAAATGTATGCGAAGGTTTTTCGCTACTCACATCAGTATATTTCAATGGTCACGTACAATCAAATTATCAAATAAACTTTATTATAACAACCAGCTATTTTTCGATTGCTTACTTTGAAGTTAGTTTGCGCCAGTACTACTTTCAAAAGAATTTGATATACGATGCCATAAATTGGCCGATTTTTTTGTGATTTGGTGACTACGTATTGAAGCATGATACCGTAGACGTGAGTACAAAATTCGGATTTTAGTTTGTGCCCACGTCTCGCTATCAAAAAATTGTATTTGCCTAAACTGTGTCAAACAAAAAATTACTACATTGTTTTCTTTCGGTCTTGATGTGTTTTGATTAGGGATGCTAATCTCGGGATCCCGGAATCCCGGCCTTTTTTAAGATATGGGATTTGTTGTTGTTGTTGTTTTTGTAGCGGCAACAACAACCCCGCCCAGATCAGTTAATCCCTCAATCGGGATTTGTAATTTGCAATGGTGGCAATAATAGAAACGGCTTATGTTAACCAGGTTTTGCTATATTTCTTTTGTTCATTTAATATTTAAATACTATTTTTTTTATAAATGTAGAGCTAATTATACATGCACATAACACCGTGTGACAAGCAATTTTACATCAATCAATATATTGGCGAAGCCATGGGTCAAATACATGCAGTGAAATGATTTAAAAAATTTAGTGCAATATACTTTGGAAAACAGTATAAGTATAAAACTAAAAAGAAACTCTGTCCTTAAAGATTTTATCCTTGAATAACTTTGCAATTTTGCAATATTTTTGTAGAAAAAATTATATGCAGTCCTTCTAACTTTATTAGTTTAAAAAAATAAAATTGATTAAAATGGCATTTTCAATACCTATTCGTTCTTGTGAATCCAAACAATTTTAATTTTTGTAAATACTACAGATTTTTTTGGTACCCCTTTTTATATTCTACATTGCACTGAATTTTTTAAATAATTTTTAGAATTTAACCTATCTTTGAAATTATAAAGTTCTTATAAAACAAATTCTGAAACCAAAAACGCAGTTTTACTATATCTGGCCCGTAGTGTAGTGAGTATATTGATTGCTGAATTTCAATTGTTATTGTTCCAACCTGTATCAATCTATTTACTCATAAAGTTTAGAAAACTTCGAGGTACGAAATTTTATAAGTATAGCCCATTAAATTACAGGAGGATAAAGTGCAAGTTTCAAGTGACTAAAAGTAAAGTTGATTTTTTATATTTTTTTTTGCTATGGGTGTCACGCCTTTTTTTCCCCTACAAAGTATGTTCGACAATTTATTTATATGAAAGAAAATGACCAGCATGGTTTAAAACATTCCTAAAACTCAATGGTATTTTGTAAATGCATGAAACTTGCATTTTATCCTACTTTAATTTAATGGGCTATAAAACTGCGTACCACAAATTTTTCTAAAAATGCTGATTAAAAAGTTTGAAAATTTATAATTTTTGTACCAATTTTGAAATGCGCATTTAAATGCAGTTAATTATATGTAAAATGAGGTAGACTGTTATAAAAAAAATTTAAATATTAATTAAAGAAATGAAATAAATACTAAATGGTTGAAAAATGGCGTTTCTTTTATTTTTGCCACTTTTGCCGCGTTTCTTTCGACATGCCGTATGTTACTTTATCAGATATGTATGCGCTAAAGTATTGCTAAATGCATATAAATTTAATTAGCTTTGTTCTGTTACTAATGAAATATTTTTCAATTTAAATAATAAAGTGGATTTCAAACCCGTTTATTTATTACTTATTATATGGTAGGACAGCTTCTCAAACTATATTGATGCAATTTTCTCATGTTTAGTTGTTGGAAAATAATGAATATATAAATCCCGGCAGTAATCCCGGGATTGTATGAACGATGTCCCGAAAATCCCACGGATCGCGAAAATCGAAAAAATTACCACCCCTAGTCTTGATCCTGTTACGCATATGGAGGGACCTAAAGTTTTACCCCGCCTCCGAACGGCAATTGTATTTTTATGAGCAGATTTTTTAGGGCAGAAGTACACTCGGAGGTTTACCATTGCCCGCCGAGGGGTGACGGCTGATAGAAAAAACTGTTTTTTTTTCAATTTATGTAGATGACACTCGGATCAGAGATCGAACCCTATTCCTACGTAGTGGTGGTATCCACTCTACTCACTCAGCCACAGCGGGCAACAGCAACATATATACTATATATAAAAAAAAAAAACTAAGTAAAGCAAAAATAGCCAAAACTTTTAAAAATGTCGCGTTCGTATTTATATTCTCGCCACTGTATGTCTAAGGGAACTACGATAAATTGTTTATCGGATAACAATAATAAATATCGTTGACGTCAATTGCTGTGGTGGAATATTGAAGAATTTGCTAAATATTCGTATGCAAAACTATTAAGTACATATCAGTGCACAGTGGTTCAAAACTGGAATTAACAGCTCTATTCTGCGCTGGTAATATGAAGTTTGTAACCGGTAAATAAAGTTCCTGTCAATTTTTAAAACCTTTTCGCATTCTGCGTACTCTTGTAACCGGGAAATTTTGTTACCATCTCATAAGCTGGTAACAAATTATTGCCCCGTAAAATATGCAATGCCAGGATTTGCACAATTCTTCATAGCTGAATTGCTGAATATTTTAACTGCATTACCAACGTACCTAGAATCGCGGTGACAAGAACTGGTAACATTTTTTGGTAATACAATTTTACGGTTACAAAATCTTCGGTAACGTGCAGAATAGACCTGTAACTGTTAATAATTCACCGGAGCTTTAATTTTTAATGAAAGCTTATAAAATTAGCAACAGACCAGTTGACCCATAGTTTTGAATTTTTATTTGTTTATATTAATTTTTTAAGTGAAAAGTTCAGAAAAAATAGCAATTTTGGAGAAAATCGATTCTCCTTCTCTAGTTAGTAAATGTTGCATAACAAGATCTATTTAAAAACCATTGTGGGGTTCCCTCAAATCGAAATCAAATTCACAAGAAAAATTGTTTCACAAAAAATTAACGCGAATTCTCGGCAGCTTGCGGCTTGCACTTCAATCTATCTATAATCTATCTATAAAACTGCATACCCAAATTTTTCTAAAAACTAAAAATAAAGAAATTTTCTTTTAGTGATTTTTTTTTGTAAACATAAAAAAATTTTCCGGTATAATTTATTTTTTCGTTTTGGGGGAACCCTAAAATTGTTTTCAACTAGTTTTATTACTTAACATTAACTGGAACAAGAGTCGATATTCTTGAAAATTGACACTTTTTCTGCAGTTTGCACTACAAAGTTTAATATAAGCAAATAAAAATTCAAAATTCGGACTCAACTGGCCTCTTGCAAATTTTATAAGCTTTCGTTTAAAAAAATTGATTGAAAAATTAAGGCTCCAGTGGATTATGAGCAGTATGCCAGTTTTGAGCCACTTTGCAGCGCTGCTGGCCTCTGTAGGAAATGTGAACATTTCTTCATGCATGGCGGAAAAATTCCGCAGAATGATGAGAGCATTCTTATTCGTTGGTCATTCCTAGTCGGCAGTTGGTTGGCTATCGATATTTGTTATAAGTTTTGTTATCGATGTTACTATCAATTAATTAGTCGATCTTGTTATCGATATATCTATCGATATACCGATGTCGTCGTTGGTATATTTATCGATACAGTTACCGATATTGTAATCGATATAATAATCGGCACATAACATGTGATCACACGATTTGACATTACATGACATGACATCATATGACACTAAATCACATGATTTGACATGACATCACATCACATGATTATCATACATATCGCGTCATCGCACCTCACAGCATCTAGGTGAATATTTAGATGAAGAAAAGGATAAAAGCAAAGAAATTAAAAATAAAAACAAAGATGAAGGCCAAGGTAAATTTAAACACTTTACTTTTATATGAAGAAAAGAGTATAAAGATAAAAATTAAGATACAGGAAACAGAATAATATAAATGTAATTTGAACGATAAAATCAGGTATAAATAAAGAAAAAAGATAAAATACAACCTTAAGCTTATAACATTAAATTAACTAGCCTGTCAATTTATTCACAATTTTGAACCAAAAAAATGCATATGTACATAAATTCGTTACGAGCCAACTAGATACATATGTATCGTATAATTAATTTCTCCAGTGTGGTCCAGGCGCAGTTATTTTTATTTATTTTTTTTTTGCCGTATTTAGATGCCATATTTATGTAGTGGCCAATTAGATTCGATGTTAGCTTCTTTTTGTAAAAATATTAATTTCCTTGAACAATTTCTTGAAAAAATCAGTTTGAATTTCAATGAGTGCTCCTAATGTAACATAGATACATACATGTACATCTCCTGCAACATTTTCAAATGATTTCACCAATTATTTATTAAAACATTTGGTGTTGTAGCGAAAAATTTCTAACAATTTTTGTTTAGAATTTGACCAAAAAAAAATTAATTTTAAGATACATACATACTAGGGATGTTGCGAATGTGGAATTTTAGACATCCGCGGATGCGAATGCATTATATCAGAATATGATTCAAAAATGCCCTATCTCAGACTTCGGTTCAAAAACGCCCTACCTCACTTGAAAATGTATTGAAAATGTGGTGAGATAGGGCATTTTTGAACCGAATTTTGAGATAGGGTAGGTAGCCTAAATACCAACCTACCAAATGGATAAAAACTTACCAGTTTTGGTAGAAAAAGTCCACTTGTGGCAACACTGGTACCAATCGTAATGGTTTTGAAAAGTTTTGTTTCTTAACTTAAGTATAGGAGGGTTGCCACTGTTTAAAACTCAAATTCAATTTGCCTTAAGTGAATTAGCTAAGCAAAATATGTATCACCATATGGTCGCCAAACGGAAAAGATTTTATAGGTAGTAGTTCGAAATTATTTTGAAGAGGGTTGCCACCTGCTTGGAATGCCAAATTTAGTTAACTTATACGCAAGTTATATGAAATATCAAAATATGGATGTCAAAGGAAAGAGTATTAAGAGTCCTTAGTTTCAACACTAAGAGCTGGTTCCTCCAACTCAACTTAACTTAGTTTAGCCATTTTTTGGACTTAAGTCAAAAGTTAGCCTACCTTTTACACAGCTTATAATCGATTTTGTAATCGATTTAGTTATCGATTTTGTAACCGATCTTGTAATCGATTTAGTTATCGATATTTTTATCGATTTTGTTATCGATTTTGCTATTGATATTATTTCGATTTTGATATCGACATCTTCATCGATTTTTTATCGATGTTTTTATCGAAATCATTATCGCTTTTGTTGTTTTTTTTCTTAGTGTGTGCTTTCGTTTTTGACTTGGATATGCTCTTAACCATACCACATACGTCTAAGTTTAGCGAATGTATATCCGATACAGCCTGCAGACCAAGATGAAGGCGTTGGACTGTTCCTTTTTTTAACTGAGATTTATTTTATCGGTACAGGGTGATTTGAAATTTGATGAAATTAAAAACCTGCACTAGCCGAGAGCTCTCTTCACTCAGAAACGGCTGTACGGATTTAGATGAAATCTGGCACTCGGAGCGCTTATAGCTACGGTGACCATCCGTCCTTTATTTTAAAGGACAGTCCTTTATTTTAACCCCCTGTCCTTTATAATTTTTGTCAAACTAAAGGACGCCATTTGTCCTTTATTTCTTAAACTGTCCTTTAAATAAGCTTTGGATTTTGCAGAGGTCAATTTTTAAACATAGAATATGAAAAAATAAAAATGTCCATAATTTAACAGAATGAAACCCTTCGCCAGTTTGCTTCGCACCCCACTTAAGGGTCACGAATCCTTGATAATACTGATAAGGGAAAATTTGTATAATTGAAAAAAATAATTAACTAATATTTAGACATTTTCGCAGAAAAAATACTATACTTTGAGTAAAATTCATTGTAGGCAAAAGCACAGGGAGTGTTGTGCCCTGGATCGTGTTGCACGCTAAGATTCCAGATCCACTGAAAAATAACAATAAACCTCCGCTCAATTATGATAAACGAATTGTAGCAGCAAAGGATGGCGAAGTCCTTTATAAGGATTTGGTTTCATTTTTCGGAATCGGTTAAGATCCAGTTATAGCGCCATTCGAGAAGAGGAACTTGTACAATTTAATAAAATAATTAAATATCAAATATTTGATCTCAATTACCATCATACAAGTTGTATGTTCGTATTCTAAAATCATTAGGAAAAATGTCCTTCATTTTACGTTCGTTAATATGGTCACCGTACTTATAGCCATGACTAACATTTGGAATATTTTGTAGGTTTTTGAAATTCTATTTTGGGCGTTTTAACGCCATTCGGGGTCGCAAGTAATTTATATATTGGCATTGCTGAACACAAAATAGGCTAATGCTTGTAATTTACTTCTTATACTTCTCATTTCAAAGATGTTATATAGTAATTAGAATTATTTCCCCCAAAACTTCAGGTCGTTCCATAATTCCCCTTTAAAATTGTAATTCCATTCCTATGTCGTGCGAAAATTATACAAACTATCTGTTTTAATTTAATTTTAATTAAGTAATAATCATTTCTTTATAAAAGAAGTTAAACGTGTAATAACAAACTCATCTCCCCTTTTTCATAATCACTTTGCGTAAGAATTTCCCCGCCGCACGAAACATGTGCCCAATTTGTGTGGCACTGCTGCGGGCGCCCAATGAGGCGGCGTGTGTGGATTGTTGGCGTCGTTTAAACCATTCGTAAGTTTGATTGCTGAATTTTTCAAGGAAGATCTCACTGATTTTCACCTTCTTTCCGATGCGTGGCGAATCAGCAGCGATGACACTCTTCTCGCGGCCGACCTTCTGTAGCTCAGTGACAATTTTATTGCGTAAATCGAGGAACTGTAAAAAAATCAGAAAATTTTAGTCTTGCACCTTTTTATTTGTGAAAAAGTTTGGCAATTACCTGTTCACGATGTACTCGCGTCATATATTCGGCTATGCGATTAAAATTCTCGACGAACATTTGCGAACGGCAGAGCACACGGTAATTGCTCTCGAAAAACTC